TTTGTAATTTTTTTTTACGGCTTAAATTATTATCGTTGGACAAAACATGAAGACACGAACAGTTGCGAACGAAAAACATGTTTTTCAAGGGTAATTCCAATTTGATATTTATTAACATTTTGTAAATTATTACGGTTTGCGGCTAATCACTTTGTCAATATTCATTTTTTTCTTATCAACTATGTGACCTCAAATGTTCTTTAATATATTCTGATGATTTAACTTTAAGCTATTTTTTGTTCAGTGATAATTTTAATCGTAAAAAAAAAAAAATACATTCAAATTGTTCATTTTTTTTTCTGGTCCATTCCAATCTATATATACATTTTATTATTGTACAGAAAAGTACTGAGGGAGATGTGGTTTTTTTTATTTCATTTGTAAACAACTTTTTTCCCAGAAATCTTGTTAAGATTTACACACAACTTAACAACGATTATTTAAATAATTGCTATTAAAAAAACTACGAGAAAAATCAAAAGATGATTCTTTCAAGTCTTAATACATCAAATATTTAATAATTTAATATTTTTATTTACATACAATTTTACAATAAAGTTCGTATTAAGTTTTTGATTGGAGCAAGATTTTTGAAACTAAAGTTACTTACAGACTCAAAAAAACCAATCATAGCAACACTAATGAATTACTTGCGTCGCACATAATTTTAAAGTTGGACGTAAAGTAGTAGTTTTTCTTTATTACAATTGTTTTAAATTCAAATTTTGATGAGATTCGTAAAAATCACGGCATTATAAAAAAAAAAAAAAATCGATTTTTAACTAAACGTCGTTTAGAACCGTGGTTTCTTGTTAGCAACGGTTTATTGTCACGGTCAGGCAAATTTTCGAGGAGGTTTTCTGTGTCTCTGTGCAGGGACTAAAATACCTCTTATTTCAGCGTACGCGCTTGTTAATTTAACTGTTAGCGATTATAGATTTCCATGGCAAAACAACACATAGTATGAGCATTGAACAATCTTTAATTGTGTTATTAGATAGTAAGATAAACGGCCAGACGTTTTTAGTATATTTTAATATGAAATTAAACTTCTTGGGTTTGTAGAATGGAATTTAGCCGATACAATTCACGGAAAAAATTAAACAAAATAAAAATATTATACCACTTGGTACATACCACTGATAAACTTACCGGTTTCACCTAGGTACTGTTTTAAATTAAATTAGAGTAATTACTCTATATAACCTACAATTTTGTTTATGAGCGAACCGAATGTTAATCATAACATAACAATGACGGTTCTATGACGTGCAGTTTGTTAATGACTTTTTTGTTAGAAATCTCGCTCCGACCTTATAACTTTATAGGAACTTTCTCGTAGCATTTTCCACGTGGTAATTCGCTCGCGTAATAATGCTGTCGACCTACGGGTTATTCCGCTCAGAATCGTTTTTCGTTAGTAATAATCGTGGCTCGCAGGTATAAATAAAAATCACTCGAATATTATATCCTACCTTCCGACTTCCATCAGAAAACATCGGCGCACGCCCGTCGGCGCTATCGGTATTTTCACAATTAGTATTTTTATTCCGTTTTCGCGCGCTCCTATATCATTACGCGTCGCGTCCCGTAGTAGATCGAAACACGTTTTTCACAATCTCGCGTCACGCGGCCGTACGCATTATGTTCCCCGTGTACTGTTCGCACGATAACGTGTGTATAGCGAAGTTCCGCCCAGTGAGTATAACAATAATAATAATAATAATAATAATATATTATTAGAGGAGCTCGGTGTATAATGTCATTGTTGAAATATATCGTCCGCGACCGGTTTCCCGTCGATACGATCTCCCGGAAACTTCTGGCCGCGGGCCGAGCCGTACGCGTTGGCACTCGAGAGAACTCGTTTTTTGTTTTCTTTCTATTCCGTTTTTTTTTTATTTTTTTTTTTTTTTTACACGGCTGTTTTTCGTCGTCATGAAACACCATTAAAAACCTTTAAAAAACGGCGATGGCGTGGAAAACAAAAAACCGTATTATAATTTTTTTCCCTTCTTCCAGACCGTATACAATATACGTATATATTATAATTATTATAGGCGGGTGTGCGTTATAGGTATACAGCAGGTATACGATCTACGGTGGTATTTCATAGTGTGTATATAAAAGAAAATGCGATTTTTCTTTTTTCTTTTGCGCGTTGATAATAATCATCAAAACCTCCGCGCGCGAACTCGTCGAGCAATATCTCCGAGTGTGTACGTTCAGCTGCGTGCCATTATACGCGGCGGTTTTTCTTCTCCCTCCCTCTCCCCCACCCCCGAAAGCTTCCGTCCCGTTCACCCGAGGGAAAACTTAACTGGCCGCACGCCCACATATTATAATAGTATTGCGCAGTACATAAATTGAAAAAATATGAAAACCGAAAATTCGGATTTCCATCGTTGCACGAAAAGGTGAGACGACGCCGACGTACACTAGCGATTCGCGTTTACCGCGGCCATCACGTAGGTATAGGTATAGAAACTATGCGCTTTTTTTCCCCTTGTTATTTCCAAACGTCATTATTTAAATACGAAAAAAAAATCATTTTTTTTTTTTTTATTCGTTTAATTTTTCAATTTACTCCGTTGTTATATACTTATATATATATATAAATATAATATTATTGTTATTGCCCTCGTCGTCGTCGTCGTCCCGTTTAATAATAGCAGTATACGTATGAAAAAAAAAAAAAAAAAAAAACAACAAAATGAATTGTTCGTTTTTTATATTTTTCAACTAAACGATTGCCCCTCGACGCGGGTAACTCGAGGATTATTATTTTTTAACCATTATTATATAGCGTGCACTATATATTGAACGGGTTGTTTTGTTGTCTTTAAAAAGTCCATTGCGTCGAAGCATATTACGTATACGTCGGCGTGACACGAACCGTATTTATTTTTGTTTTTTTTTTTTTTTTTATTATTATTGTTCTTGCACTAAATTGAACATACGGCTGGTGTGTACGCGCAGCGCAGTGTTTGAGTTTAGAGGCACTTATAATATATATAAATTATTTCAGTTTTTTGTCGAAATGCGAATCCCGGAACAAGATATAGGGGCGGTGCACTCGCCGCAAGAACGCGCGCGTTTTTAATACACTATCATTATAATGTCTGATACCGAATATTATTTTTTCATACTTACGTTCGAATTCAATATAGTCGACAGTATGGTTATTATGATACGGTGTGTGGTTCATATTACGAAAGAACCGAGAAAATTGTTTCTTTTTTTTTTCTTGTAGAAATTACTCATACCATTAATAATATAACTATTAATTTGTAATTCTCAGACAAAAATGACGTAATAACTGGCGGTATAACCATTAGACGGACCGTATTTTGTAGATGAAGAAAAAAAAGTTAGACAACTTTGATCGAACATCTCGCCTCTCCTCCCCCCACCCGTTTTGTCCGTCGACACGAGAGAGAAATTTTGGTGGAATTTGGTGATAATAGCACAAATCATTTATATACCGTAAAAAGGTCGAAAAATGACCAAAATAGAGGTTATAGTTTGGCCTTTTTCGAATTTCCATAAAAAAAATTGTATAGCGTTTACATTAAATTACACCAAACCTTAAATATAGAATTATCTATAAAAACAAAAAAACCGGCTTGAAGTTTCTTCGTAATTTTATAATTTTTCGGCAAAAATCCATTAAAATACTTTATATTATTATTATTTTTTTTAAATTTAATTTAAAAAGTTTTGTTTTATTTATATAAGAATTCTGTTAAGACATTTTTCATAGATAATTTTGTGTTTTATATTTAAGATCTGGTATATTTTTACGTAAACGCAACAGTTTGTGAAATAAATTAAAAAAAAAAAAAACAGTCAAACTACGTACCTTATAATATTCTATGGTATAGTTTGTCAACTATTTTGCGGCTTGTGAAAAGGGGTTGAACTATGGTCACCGAATTTCACCGAAACTTCTCGTTTATATGTCAACTAACAAAACGGGGTGGGGGTGGGTCACTCGATAAAAATTATTTAAATATTTTTTCTCTGTCCATATAATGAGAACCTACACTCCGATACGGGTTGAATATCTGACCTACACATTACGGTTTCTTTTTGTATATGAATTTTTATTTCGAATCACCGATTTAATTTCCTACCCACTCCAACCAAAAAATACACCCACTCTACTATAAACTCATTGAAATTAGTCCAATAGAATACGTTTATCAAGTTCCCGCAGTCTGAAATTCTTTTAATGCATTAAATTGCATGCTATGCTGTTGCGTAAAGAACGTAATAAATTTCGTTTATACTTCTGAACACCCACGGGCACCCACGAATCATGCCATTCAAATATATACCTCTTTCGCGCCTTTTTGTGTCTCGGAAAATTGTCATTTCACTGTACAATAATAATAGGCGCGTAAATTAGTCATCGTCGAAATTCAAACTCGCCGTCGTCGTCGGTATTTACAGAATTATTTACTAAGTGTGATCATCTGGTTTTTTTTGGTTAAATTTTGCATTTATTCAAATTTTGATATCAAAGCCGATTTTCTTGAATACTTCGATTTTTTCAAAACATTTAAGGAGTATCCAACTGTGGTGATACCAACTTTGGTTTTTTGAACGAGAACCTATGTTGAAAATTCCATAAATAGACTGAGTGTTACTTTAAATAAATGTCTGTGTCAAAATCTTCAATTCCCGTCAACCCGTTAACGAAATATCCCGTTTTTAAGTTATCATTCATATTAATATTTAAAGTATAGAATAACTCTATGAAAAATCTAAGTATTCGAAAATATCGGCTTTAACTACACGTACAAATTTAACCGAAAAAATGGAGTGAGCACACACACACACACACACACACACACACACACGAACACACATATATATATATATATATATAGTGAACTTCACCCTGTATAGACACGGGGCGACCCGTAATAATAATAATAATAATAACAATAAATAATTATAATAATAACTTTTTTTTTTGGTGGTTTATCCGGCCACTAGGATCGTCCCTTCTCACAACCGATTCTCCGGCCATTTCTATTCGTTGCCAAATACTTCCAGTGTGTTCCACCTTCTAATTCTTCAACATCCTTTACTGTATCTTTCCATCCCGTTTTAGGTGTTCCCAAGGCTCTTTCGCTAATCGGATTTCGGACTGATATGTCTGATATCGCTCTTACCAGAGGGTTGTGACTGCGCATTGCATCACAACTATCCCGCGTAGTTTTCCTTTGTCGATAGTTTCCACTACGTCCTTTTCGTAAATAATAGTAACGATAAATAATAATAACCATAATAACAGTAATATCCATGCGCGGTAGACCGCCGCCGTAAAACGTTACGGATTACGAAACGATACGGCGCGTTCCGTCACCATGTGCACGCTAATAGCGCGGACGAGCGAGTACCCGGGCGCGGTAAACTCAAACTACCCCCTCCCACCCCCGAGAATTCGCACTGAAATACAATATTATAATAATATCGAGTTGTTTTGTTTTTCTTCGATTCGGACGCGCGTCCGAGACAGGGAGAGTGAGAGAGAGAGAGAGAGAGAGAGAGAGAGAGATTACACATCGCGGAGTTTTCGCGGGCTGAAGTTTGTCTTTCGCCTTTTAATATATAATATATACATAAACACATAGGTATATCGAGTGTACAACGAGTATCTAAAGGCTAAAAGCGTTATTTACGTTATTATTATTATTATTGTTATTGCCGTATGTATTATTATTATTATTGTTACACGAGAGTGTCGGATTTTGTGCGTTCGAGTCGCGCACAGTATTCAATATTGTTATACAGTTTCGAAACAGTTACTTATCCCGCCGCTTATATTATCATGATGTACACACTCGACCGCTTGTACGCGTTGTAATATGTGTGCGGGTGTACACGGTTTTCGTCGATTTACCTCCCCCCCCTCATCCCCTACCACCATTACAATTTTCTTACGTGATTTTTTCCTCCACAACCGTACCGTTTAGTCTTCGAAAATTTTCCCCGACAATTTCCGTTATTTTTCACTATTTTAGATTCTGGGCGGAGCGAGGGATGTATCGACTTTACAATGATGTTTACTTTTTTTTTTTTTGTGTGAACATTTTTTCTACCAGAATGTTTACTTTGACTATCAAGTATAGCACCTTCTCTGAAAGGAAACGTTCGCTGGGCGGTACTTCAGATAGGTCATTCGAGATAACGAGGAATGCCTGGTTATTTAAGTTAAAAAAAGATTGAAAGATTAAAAATAGGATTGTCATTGGCAACCATTTTTATTTATTTTTTGTTATTATCAAGTTTTTATTATCATAATTATTACGTTTTTAAATAATTTTTCTTGAAAATTTACCAAAGCCTGGCGGCGTATTTACGGTAGCGGATTTAGGGATCCATACGCAACGTGTAAAATAATATCCGGCTAACGGTGACTTTATCAAAATTGTCGAACCGTTTATGATGTCAACGTTTGTCAAATGCAGGAATGTTACGTATACCGCATTCGGTGACGGATATGATTTTTTTTCGCTGGGAGGAGACACACAATTTTTATATTAATTTTGAACATTGAACACTTAATAGTTAAGAAACAGTTAAGAATAAAACCAATCGTATCGATTATCGTATAATAATTGGTCTAACCGTAATTCGAACGACGATTTATAATCATTATTAACTCGTATTATTACTGCAACTACACAAGTATAATATAACTGTTGAGGGGGGCCAGGGCTCTCTCGTCCACCTCTCTTTAATTCGCCAGTGACTGCGTTATCCGGCTAATGTTAACATGATTACCTGTGAAATATAGGCTGCATAATATATATACACACACATCAAAGTCATAAAGATACAAGTGTAACTTTATTTTATTTCCGAGTCGTCATCGTACAGAGTCGTCCTAGAGTTTACAGCGCATATTCGAAACTTTCCGAACGGTGTTAAATTTTTTATAGGGGATGTCGTTATCGATATTGATGCACGGCGACACGTTATATACCTGCTGCAGGTGTGTATGTTTATCGAGTTTGGCGGCCGAAAAGTCGACGAGTAGGTATAACTGTAAAAAAAAAAAAAAAAAACCGCTCTTCGCTCCGTGTTGACGAATCCATAAGTAGGTAACGAGAAAGGACGTAAGAAAATACTGAAATTTTATTCAAAACTCGACCGCGGGAATCGATTACATAGTACGATTCATCGTCGCCGTGCGCCTTCGAAATGCACCTATATAGTAATTATTATCCCCGGGGCTTTCGGGTTTTTTATATTATTTTTATTCTTTTAAATTTAATAAATTGCATTCACGATTCTTCTACTACACCGTGGCGATGGCTGTCGCAGCCGTACCGAGAGATCTATCGCGTTTCTACGCGTTCGGTAGGTAACCGAACGATAGACAATTATATTAATGTTTCTATGGCCTAAATATTAAATTTTAAATACAAAATCTATTTAGATTTCGACATTTCACGACGCTCAATAACAGCAAACGATGTCGAGGACAGTGATTCATTACTAGGATTATGGTGGGCGCTTTTTTCATTTTCCATCAGTTAACATGTCTACCAGAAATCTTGTTCCGATTTTCAAGTGTACCGTCTTTTCTCGATGAAAATTTTGTCGGTGAGTCGGTGAGTTAGGGCGGTCATTTTTTTTTTTTTAATCAATTTTTCTCGTGTTTTTCTAAATAATTGGGTAAAATAGACAAAAACAGTCCCAATATTTTCGGTTTCGTTTCATTTGTTGTAATTCAGTTAAAAATAATCGTAGAAACATGAAATGTTCACGGAACACTGGAATAATTATCCTTTTATATATAGATGTGGTAACATTTTTCAGTTATTTCCGAGCTTTTCATAAGGTTAGGTTAGGTGGATAATATTGGTCCGGCCGACCAGAAATGCTTAAAAATTTTCTATTTATCATATAGGTTTTACTCAACGGTAAAATTACAATTTTAACGGAAATCATAAAAATCATGGCATTTATGTATTTTTTTGTCGGCCTAACATTTTCAATAGAATTAAAATTACATAATATTATGATCTTTTTTTATCGAAACGATTAAGATAATTTTCAATAGCTTAAAAATGATTACACAAAGTTTATATTGATATGTATTTATACTGGTTTGAAGACAGTAGTGGAGTATTATTTGTGTGATGATGTGTTAATAATGCACCACTACTCTCTTCCAAGCCAAATTTAAAAATAAAATATTTCGTCAACGGGTTGACGGAAATCAAAAATTTCAACACCAAAATTTATTTTAAATAATACTCAATCTATTTAAGGCGTTTTTAAAATAGGTTGTCGTTTGAAAAAAAAAAATAGGCAGTCATTTCACCACCAAAAAAAAGGGGTACAAAAAAAAAAAAAAAATGATAATGTAACATTGTAGAACTATTGGATTTTTTCAAAAAAAAAAAAATTCGAAAATGTTAATACTTTCCAAGATAATAAATGTTTCCAGTTTAATAAATCACCCTGTATATAATATTGACCAGTGGTATGTGCAAGTGAGGGAGGTACGGGTTATACCCCCTCTCTCCGTTGTTTTAAAATTACAAACAAAATACTGATAATCTAATTTCAAAATGCCTATGTTTTGCAGCCAAGTTACGAAGAAAAGCTTGATTTATTAATTAGAAATTGGCTTTTTTTTTTGTAGGATCCGGCTTTTAAATTACCAATTCCCACAGCCTATAGTTGGATGGAGAAGACGGTTTTACAATTTATTCACGGCTCTTATTTGCTACGACCCCTGATCCCCGTTTAAAATCCCTGAATACGCCACTGCTATTAATTATATTATAATATATACGTATATACTGACATAATATTGGTACGTTAATTATATAATTACATTATTGTATAATCTGACAAACGCAATAGCTTTGGATTAACTTTCACAGACTTCCGCGATAGATACGAGTAAACTTCCGTAAACAATTGAATAGAACAGGTGACGTTTAATTAAACGATGTATAAAATAACACGTCAATAGCATTGATAACGGTGTTACACTTTTTGATGATATTATGTTTTGCGCGTAAGGAAACTCGACTGACAACGATGCATAGCCATATAGACGCATAGACATATAGACGTGATCGTACGACGGCAATCAGAAAACGAGCGGTAGCGCACGAATACGCGGTCAGGAGCTCGTAGTATGTTAATACGGAAAATTATTTTTTTCATTTCGTGTCGTGAGAAAATAGTAGTGTACAAAGCTCCTCGATAAAACACCCGTTATATCGGAAAGTATTACTTTATTTCGGAATTTGTTTTTTTTTTTTACTTTTTTAGAAAAAAGCGTCTAAAAAACGTTACATTGTCGTTATTTTCCATTGGTTTGCTATTTGAAAATCAAAAGCGAGTCGTGGTTTCGCCGCGAAAAATAAAGGCCAAAAAAAAATTAACGAAAACGTAACGTATTAGAGCAGCTAGTTTTGTAAATCGCGAAAGAAAAAAAAAACCAGCTGTAAAAAGTTAACACTTTCCGAAATAATGGTTGTCTTGTCGAGAACTGGTCACTGTGAATACGTTATGAGGTACCCGTAGATAATAAAGAACGGACAGACCGTATAAGTCAATTCCTATACATAATATATATATATATATGTTACGCAGGACGGCGCGCATTTTTTAAACGCGATTTCGCGGACTATAAACAACAGTGTAAAAAGAATACCGTGACGTGACGTTAATACAAGTACAATATCATGTTACGATAAAGTAAAAAAAAAAGAAAAAGACAAAACGACGAAAAAACAATTGTCATACGTTCGGTACAGACGGCGTTTGGTTGCGATAATAAACGTTGTAGGTACTCATAAAATAGCTGTCGCATGTTTCGCGAGAAAAAATAACGGATAAATCATAATGAACGCACAACCGATAAGAGTGAATAACTGAAAATCGAAATAGAAGAGATTTTTCGACACAAATTATTATCGTTTTAAAATACGCCGTTTTTAAAGAAAAAAAAAAAAACCGTTTATTTTTATTTGTTACGTGAAACACAAACCGTTGTTTGTCGCGCAGCACAAAACGTGATATTATGCTACGATACCTATTCCCTATACAAGCGATAATTGCGGCGGGAGTAAAGAGCCAACAATTTCGGTTAATGATCATTTTACGGCGTAAAAAACCCGAGCGAGGAAAAAAAAACTATAGCACGGTATTATTGACGGACGAATAACATTTTTCAATTCGCTAAAATTTATGTTTTTGTTGCTAAGCGCGCGGCGCGCATGTTCGGCATGCCCAGAGAATACGCCACTGAACGTATGCCGTATTTTGTATA